TATTTTATTTGCAGTTTGAGATATAGTTTTTTCCGGGGAGGAGGGAAAAATTCTGAATCACAAAAGGAACAGTAAGTCTACGCATTAAACTTCAGCAGTTGTTTGGAACACGTAGCCTCCTGTCAATTTTTTTTAAACAAACATTATACAAAAATGCACTTAAAAAATTATTTAAAATATGTTATACCGGCCTGGACTTAAAAACCATTCTGAAGTATTTAATTAAAATGTTAATACAGCATAACGTGCAATGAGTTTTATAAGTTTTATTTCCTAGAAAACATGGCTCAATACTGAATGTATATTAGCAAAATACAGTTTACAATCCAAAAATATGTTGTCATCTGTTTTACATTCAAATCTACATTTTGCTCAATTAATAAAATTATGTTATACACACCTGCAGTAATATATAAATGACTAGTATTCGTTTAGATCAAGCATTACAACATTTAATTATATAAACTAACAGTAAAATTCAACCCAAACCAAAAATAAGACTTTTTTACAACAGCACATTCATAATGCAATTCAATGTCATATATAACATTCTAGAAGAATGAAAGTAATAAGAAATGCTGGTTAAAAATGCAGAAAAACAGAATTTTTTAAAACTCAGAGCAAATACTGGAAAGGAAATTTCTGTTCATGCTTAGTAGTATATTAGAAGTTTACAAATTATACAATTTAAATCTTTCTAATACTTAATTTTATTAGACTTTGAACTATCACAATCCTAATAACATTTAAGTGAATACAGCAAAAGCCTGACTATCCAGCATTCATGAAATATTTTAGAATTTTATACCTCCCAAAAATTAAGCAAATGAGGGACTTGTAAAGCCATTATAAAACACATGGTTTAGTTTTTTTAAAGTTGGATATAAGTTAATTGGTATTAATTCCTTCTGACATTTTGAAATTTTTCTTCAAAGTTACAAGATTCTGGCATGTGCTTTAATGGGCATAAGAGAATTTATTTAAAAACAAATAATTACACACGAAAAACTATGATAAGCAATTTAAGCGTTTTAATTTTTTTATGCCTACATCCCTAACTTACATTTATCGATTATCCAAAAAAGGTTAAGAAAGATTAATTTCTTTTAAGTTTCTACCAGCTACTTTCTTTATTGACAAGATTTCAAAATCGGATAACATGCTTTACTTTCATGCGTTTTAATATCTTTGAAATACATTTCTTCTTTAAATATTACACTTCTTTTAAATGTAGGCTTTTGATACTAAAGTTGATTACAAATAAATATGATTGTTTTTATATTTTTAGACTCGAAATTGTTTCATTCATTTGGCTTTTCTATCATGAACTGCATATTTTTATATGCTCAATTATTCAGAAATTTTTTTTTTATTTGGCATTTCCTGAGCTTTTTAGACAATCAAGCTTTCACTGTACATTCAAGCTAAAACATTAAATTGAACTTTTTTATAAAGGGAAAAGAAAACTTAAGCATATATGTTCATTTCTAAATAAGTTTACATCAATGCTACTCTGAGCATAAAAATACTTTTCAATTCAAATAAATGTAAATTAACTATAAATATTTAAATCACCAATGCTGCTTATTGCTTTATTAAAGTTGGACGTTTAATTATCACTTTTCTCTTGAAAATGTAAAGATTTGTATAAAAATTTTTTATTCAATAAAGCTCTTGCATTTTTACTTCAATAAATAAGGCATAAGTGAGTTGGGCTACTCTCACTTCACAAATTTTAAATCTTAAGCTAAAAATTATGCTATAGTATGCTACAGTAGCATAAGAAACAACAAATCTGACAGTTTAACTTTTCACCAGTTCTTTACAATTAAATACATTTTCATTTTTAAATTTTAGTTTTACTCACTATAAAAAGAAAACTAAATAGAAAAAATATTTTAAAATAAAGACAAGAAATTTTAGCAGTCAGAGATTATAATTTACAAACTTTTAAGGTACAAAACAAATTCATTTCTGATATAAAAGAACTGCGTTACTTTCACACACATATATTAATTTTTTTTAAAAATCTAATCAGTGTGAGAAGATACTTGCACACAAATATCATAATCATGAATTAAATTACAAGTTGTATTCAGTTATTTTTAGAAAACATTCAGAGTTCACACAACTAAAATATTTAGCACTACTAATCATAATATAATTTAACTGCTCAAAGACAACTTTGTACAAACTGATAGTAAAAAAATATGCCAGTGTGTTAATAGTATAAAAAAATATTTGCAAATGTAATAAAAAAGTTCTCACTCAAAAATATTAACAAATCTGAAAAAGTACGAATTAAGCACACAAAATGGAAATAACAGAAATTTATAACAGCTAACTAATCTAAATAAAGCTATATAAATGCTTAAAAATTCTAAATGCACAATGAAAACAACATAAATACATTACAAGACATATATATATATCCAAAAAGCACAACAATAGATTCAACAAGTCAAAAAACTGCGAAAAATGCACAAAAATGCAGAAAATTTTTACTATTAATAAGTTAGAGGAAGGAAAGTTAAGTAAAGCATTTACATGCAAAGCTGTTTCACTGCAACAAACTATACATGTTTTATGTACAAATTAAACACACAAAATGGACTGTAAATGTTTCACTTTTAAATATTTTTCTTTCATTTTAGATATCATGCCTGTCAAATGTTAAGTAATGAATAGTTTTACCAAACATTTAGAAGAAACCTACAGCTTTGATATTTAATTTTCAACACATTGAAAATACAGCTTTGATATTTAATTTTCAACACATTTTATACATTATATTATATATTATATTTTTTATATAAATAAAAATAATATACATATATTATTTTTATTTATATAACAATACTAAGTTATTTAAATGCAGGTTTCCTCTTATTTCATTTATTATATGAAATATTTGATGAGAATGGTAATAGTAATAATGCCTATTTTTGGTTCAAGTAACAAAGAACACTATTATCATTTTAATTAAAACTGCTTACTATATAGATCAGAAATGTTCAAAGAAGTTTTTCATATCTTTCAATCCAAACTGCAAGTTGGGAAATGGACAGATTCTCAATTAAATTGAGAGCCTGTCATTGTTAATAACAGATAAAAATATTAGCTGAGTGCATTAAAAAGTTGGAAGATTTAAATTATTATTATGATAGATGAAAAAATAGTGCTCCAAAACAATCACAAATTTTCAGTTCACATTTTTTTTTTCCTTCCAAATCAGATGAATTAAATTGTTTTCAATAAATCTATAAATTTGAGGAAACTGATTTGAGACAAAAAATAATGTATACTATGACATGAAAATTACCTTTCCCTTTTTATGTGTTAATGAACTATATATTAAATATATCATATTAAAATAAATTATAATTTTTTATCGTAAATATTTTTTTCCAGAAATTCTCATTTTTTTTCAAAATAAAATGCACGTTATTACAATGCAGTTTTCTAAACTGGAATTAGGCAGGCATGATAAGATTAAATGAAGGAAGAGACAATAAACGAAAAGTTATTTTGATGAAGATGATTCAACATAAAATAGCAAAACCACCCCCTGAAGCTATCACACAGCATAATTTGATTAATGCAAAATATTAGTTCAGATGACAGTTGCAAAGCACACTCTTTATTAGAAGAGACAGGAAACACAGATGGAAGTCATCATGGGCGAGGGGGAATAGAAGGTGCATTTCCACCAGTGCCTCGCCTGACACGAAAAAAAATAACAAGAAAATGTCATAAAATGTTAATAAAAATAATATATATTAGAGTCTCAATGATTGTTAATATATAGTAAGAAAAAAAAAACAAAAAACATTATCATCATTCTGTTGTTTCATAAGATAAAAGTGAAACAAATATACTAATGCAATAAAGATGTTTAGCAATGGAATTCTGAAAATAAAAAACATTTAGCATCGCTGAGAATATGGAATAATTTTTTAATATAAAAATCATTACTTAGTTCATGCAACAAAGGAGCCTTTTCCCCCCTGCAAAGCAAAAAATTTCTTCAAAAGGCCAATACAGTGCATTCCTACCCATGCTTTATTATTTAGTACCATGCTTCAAAATTTGAATATTTTTTTAAAAATTTCTATTGAAAATCTGAATGTTAGCATGTAAGTGGAACAGTTCGAATTTTGAAGTTTTCTGCATCACGAACAGCTTTACAAATTTTTACTTTTGTATTTTCTTATGAAACAATTGTTTAACACTTTTTCCAAGGGCATGATAAAAATTTAACATGGATAGCAATTTTGATCCTGTAATCTATACAATTTTTCATATTAATATTAAGCAGAGCAAATAGAATATCCTGTATATTTAAAGGCTATACTATAAAGAAAAAAAAATCGTACAAAATGAGAGAGATAAATCAGGAGCTTTGAAAAAATGCTGTGAGCTGATTAAGAAATGTGTACATAAATTTAAATGCCAAAGATACATACATAAATGCTTCTCATATTATTAATACCTCAAAAACTCATTTTGAAATAAATGCCAGGAAAAGAAAGGAATACAATAATAAACTGACAATTAGAATAAATAAAACTCACACTATAAGAACAGCAAAGCAAGGCAAGGCATGCAAAATTAAAAATTAGAAGAAATACAAGCTACAGCAGAATAAACACATGCATTTTATTTCATAAACTATTTTTTTTAAATCCTAAGAAATAAACTAATCAAAAGTAATTTTTTAAAAAAAAATTTAAAGTAAATAATAATTTTTGCCATATAACATAAAATTTTTCAAGATGGCATTTAGCAAAAACTTTTAAACTTTCCTATGTAGAGTATTTCCATTATTTGCAATTAAACATGTAACTTACATTTTTACACCAGTAATTTAACCCCCTGTATTTTTGGTGCTGGACTTTTGTATTTTTTTTAATTGAACCAAAAATGATTTGTTTAATACAATGCTATACTAAAAATTATTTAGTTAATACAAGTCTCGTTTTTTTTTTAAAGTTACTTACGTTGGAATGAGAGGAGGCGGCAATCCTCCAGGTACAACTCTAGGAGGTGCAGCAGGAGGTGGTCGATTAGGACCTATGGATTCTGGCCTGCTAGGTAGAGATGGTGCATTTCTAGACACCAGTGGTGGAGGAGGAGGTGCTCGAGATGTGTTTCTTCTCGTTGAACTGGAACAGAAAATTATTCTTTCATCTGCACAGATTTTATGTAACAGACACCACATAAATTTGTATATTAGATCCAGTTACAAAATATTTTATTCAAATTGCATTGTCATTTGCAATATATATGTTACTAAAAATACAAGATCTGCAATTTATACCAGATAATTTTTATATTACATCTAAAGTGTAAATTATAATAAAAGCTTATAAATTATTAAAGTGTAATAAAGCATTTTAATTACATCTTTAACAAATTATTATCTATAACAAAAATACTCTTTAAGTGTAAGCATAGAGGGTTGAGGGGGACAAAAGTGGAAGTACTCACAAGCAGTTCATGAAAGTAGTTTACAAAGAACTTTGTAATAAAGTATGGTAGTCATTAATGAAAACATAGAATATATAAATGGATATGCAACACAAAGTGCAACAAAAACTCAACCTAATTCAGGGAAATAGTCAATAGAATCTCCACTCATATGTCCACTCATATGAGAGAATAAATGAATGAGGATAAATTTACACAAAGAGTACTATTGAAAACATTTTGCACTGCAGAAGACTGCTGGAAATTTACTCTTTTAATATATTTAAAAATATACTTTGTTTTATTTGATAGAATGCAGATCAGAAAGTGAATTAGAAACAAAATGTGTTTACAGACAAAGCTGAGTTAATGTCCCTTACTCTGAAACAAACACATCCCCCCCCCAATAAGTATTACAGCCAAACTGAAGAGCAAGGGAAGCCCTCTTAGTTTTATCCCTGCTGATATGTATATGCGTTATTATGAATCCAAATTATTTTAAAAGTTCCCAGTGTGGTTCTGCTGTAATGGAGGATACTTTTACTCTGACGGTAAAGGAGATGATTTAAGTAACATTCTTTCAACAATGATTTTTACTGATCCAGCTACTGACTTCAATTTTCAACTTGAGACATCCAATTTCCTTCTGTTCCTCAGCTTTTCACCTAACTGTGTTGACCCTGCAATTAAACCTCATCTCAACACATCAAAAAGGCATTTTCTCATTTTAGGAGATTGTTATGGAAAATGTTATGTATTATTTTGTCATATAAAATTATTACATATTATTTTACTGTGCATAGGGAATTCTTAGTGATTATATTATTTTACTGTGAAGAATGAATTTGTAATGTTCTTATTTAAAAATTAATGTTTAATATTCAGTCTTGTTTAAACTTTTCATTCGACTACAGCAAAGCTCTTTTAAGTTTAGCTGATGAGTTTGATACAGCTAAAGGCGGGTTCTTACTTTTGTTCTCATGAGATGGCTTCTTTTGGAAGATCAGGGGTCGGACTGCCCAACTGTAATTTCCTCTTTTCTTTCGGGGTTGACCACAAGGTTGTTTCGGAAGTGGAGGCGTCACCCAGTTCTCCACTTCAGAATTTTTGGCCTTTTTGAAGTAGAGAACTGGGTGACATGTTTATTACTTACTGGTATCACAAGTTTAACTGAATTATGATTGAAAACATTCTTTCTGGTTTGCGCGGGAAAGGGTACGTCATTTTGTTAGGTGTCCGAATTTCTTCAAATTTTGGTCGTTGTTTATTGCCTCTGTTCTAGTTGGCTAAGGGGAGTTCAAGTTTGGTTTAAGATTGGTTATTTTTAATTTTAGTGTTGTTTGAGCCAATAGTGAATTAGAGGCATTCTGAATTTTGAGTGTCACTGAGTTTTTAAAAGCAATGTTGCACGATAGGCAGGAGCAGATTTTCCAGAGCCTTAGCTGTTTAGCATCTTTGACAGTGGCCCCTCTGGGGGCAGTCTGTGATGTGCTGCTCGACCAAACAGGAAGTAGGCGAAAGAGGAGGGTTTTTTTTTTTTTTTTTTGGTGCGAGTCCTTGCCAACTTTCTGAGATGGAGCAGTGAAAAAACACAACGGCCCTTCGGGGGTCAACCACGGTTTGCAGTTAAAGGAGGTTACGACGTCCCATTGGTTCTGGCTGCGGGGATCTGTCCGAGCTCGTGATAGACAGAGGCAAAGTTTTTTTTTTTTTTTTGTTTGTCCTGCGGCCTATTGTTTTCAATTTCGTCACTGTGAGTTTTTCTTGTTGGAGGAAATACAGATTTATTGTTGAAAGCGATACAGATTTACTGATGAAAATATGGGAAAAGGGATTGGCTTCTTTTTCAGTTCTAATTCTGAAGGTTCGCACTGAAGATGCAGATTTATTGCTGAGATAATAGACTGTCGTCATCTTCATTTGCCTGTTTGTCTGCTTTTATCCACAGCGTCAGCACAAACATTTCAAAGGCTGATTTTAGAGTTAAAATGCTATTGAACAGAGTAGTGCTGGAACTATGAGAAAATTCCCATTGTGTCTTGAACAGACATCTGTATCAGTTTTCTTGACAATGATGAAGTTTCAGCTGCTATTGTTTCGATGATTTGTGACTGGATCCAGGCTGCTCCCCGAATCCCTCAGACTTCTGTATGCGGATTCCGTGAGTGAATTTTTAGTTTTCTCTCGTTTTTTTTTTACTTGTGTTTTGTCTAAATTTGAGAGAGTGAAGTTATTTTTTTACTGTTTAACAGTCATGTTTATTTAATTTCGATATGTCTTAAAATAAATATTTCTGAAAAGAAAGTTTCACTGAAGTAATGTTATTCAATAATTATATCAAGCAATTTAATGGTTTACTAAATGTAAGAATATGAATTGTTCCATTCTTCTAATTCTGAAGTGTAAATTAATGATTTGTACTATTCATTCCTGTAAAGAGAGATAAGCGATCTAAAGAGAAAATTGGAGTAACTTTTGGAAAATGCTTTGTAGGGGTAGTCTGGCCAGCTTTTTAAATTATAAAATCTTTTGGAATACTAAATAAATGTCTCTTATTTATTATTAATTGTATGTTTTATTTGTGATCTGCTGTAGGTCACCCATGTGATCCTTTAGGAAAACATGGTTATTTCAATTCGAACCTGGGTAAATCATATTGCGGTAGTAGAAAAATCAGTTTTGAGTGTTTGTGACTATACCATCAACTTACTTAATTTGTTTGAATTGATGATTAGACTTCTTTAGTGTGAGATTTACCATTCCCTGGTGTTTTGAAGAGTCTGAGTTGTACAGTAAAGACCCCGCTTAACGCTGTTTCGTTTAGCGCTCTTTTATTTCAACCCGGGGATTCCACGAAATCGCTCGCAGCATCCGGGGATTCCCCGAAATATTATGCAGCGATAGGTTTCAAATACATATCCGAAAGAGTGTACTTGTATTTCTTGTTTGGTGCGGTATTGTACAGACATATTTTGAAGGGGTAAATGTGGAAGATGTCGAAGAAATAATTCAAGAAGCAGCGGCTAGTCTTTCTAATGATGAGCTCAAGGAATTAACTGAACAAGAAGAAAACAAAAATGTTGACAGCAGTGATTCAGAAGAAGAGCAAAAAGAACTTTCGATGGCGTTTGTAAAAAGGAGTTTGTCTACCATAACTGAAATAATGGATCAATTCATTGAAAATGATCCAAATTTTGACAGGAGCTCAAAAGTAAGACGTGGTGTTAGAGATGCTCTATCCATTTATGAAGAACTTTTAAGAGAACAACGCAAAAGAAAAAGGCAAACAACATTAGATGCTTTTGTCACAAAAAGGCAGAACACTGAAAACAACGCGGAAGGCTAACTAAATATGACTGACTTAGAATTTTATTTGTTTTTTTTAAGAATATTCGTTTTTGTTATTTATATTTTGTTTTATTTTTTTTTGCAAGAAATAATAATGTGGTATTAATTTGGGCCTTAAGAAATAAATGTTTGGTTTTATTTTTATTAAAAAAACATACTTTTTAAATTTAATACCTAACCAATTTCCTAGCCATCTTCCCCTAACCCCAATATTTACATGTAAAGATAGCCTCGTTTAGCGCTGTTTCGCATTACGCTCTACTTTGATGGAACGTATTCCACGCGTTAAGCGGGGTCTTACTGTATTTTAAATGATAAGTGTTTTGGGGCTATCTTTAGATTTGTACTAAAATTTATGTGTTTTCAGGTTGGAGATCTTAATTAGTTTTCTTTTAGTGGGAGATAGCAGACTGATGATTTTGTTATGGAAATGCATTTCACATTTTGTTTTAATAAATAATCTTTGATTCTAACAAAACACCAGGGAGCATATTATCTATTTATTCTTTAATTTAAAGAGTTGAATGAATTGATCTGATAAACTTTATGAGTTGTGGTTTTAAGTGAATTTTGTTTAACCTAAAGAAGTTTTGTATTCAAAATCTTAATGAGTAAGATAAGATTTTGTTTACTTTGATTGTAAGAGTTTTTTTAGTTTTAGATTTTTATGTCGCGGCACCAAACAGAAGTTAAGTAAAACAGTAGTTTAAAATTAATTTTAATGTTTTTTTTTCTACGTAACAAGATTATAAGAATTTTGCTGTATTCCTTTACATTGATTAGCTATAAAATTGCACACATTTTACATGAGTTCACCTTTTGGGTTGTTTTTTTCTTCTTCATCAATAAAATTTGCAGTTCTGTACTTTAACTGTTTTGCCTGAACACCGCTTGGGTGCTATGAAAAGGGACTTTTTTTATTTGCCCGTACACCGCTCAAAGCAGTGTATTTTCCTACATGAGTCCACCAATTTAATTGGCCTTTTTCACATTTTACAGTGTTTCTAATAGATGTCTCTAGTAGTCCAGAAGAGATTGGATTGTAAAATTAGTTCAGGAATAGGCTCTACTGCTCTTCATTAGTTCATTAGGCAAAGAAATTCAACGAGTTTGCACATGTTCAGTGTATTAGGCTTTGCAAATAGTATTTCTTCCCAATTTTGTCATGAAATAAAAGAGCGATGGGTGACAGTAAATGGCTCATAACAAAATATAATTATGATACAGGATCAATTACCGAATCTGAATTTTGTATAAATGATTCTGATAGTACTGAAAGCTCTTTATCGGAATTCACTAGTGATGACAGAAAATTGAAAGTTCAGATGATCTAATTCAGGTTCGTAAC